TCGAACCCAGGGCCTTCGGTCTCGCACGCGAACGCTTAACCAACTGTACCACTGAGCCGGCATCCAATGGTGATAGTGTCTAACATCAACCAATTCACGAAATCGCGCGACCAACTTCCATTGTACTGAGGTAGATACCTGTCTCTACCCGACATGGATTAGCTCCATTGGTCACGGCTTCTCACCTTTGTTTTCGTCAACAATTAGTTCAGCTCAAAATTTGATGAAAATGCATTTCGTTTAAATACAGAAATATTCTGTATTGTATTTAGTCGGAATTTGTTATAACCTGTGACCTGTGTTCCCTGCTAATGTATAACGTAACGATACCGCTAATTAGTGAGCAGTGACTTATCGATCGGACCAATGACGCGTAAACCTGTGTGAGCAGTCTAGAGTCCTTATTGGTCCCACTTCCTGTCTAGTCCAGCCAGTTAAGTCCAGAACACCAATCTGAGCCTCTGCGATATGAATCGTGTATTTCAAACACACTCGGTCTATATACCAATCAGACAGACCACATCGTACCAATAAAATACGAAACAACATTTGTACAATAATTAGCCAAATGTGGCTGTGAATGAGGGAGGTATTAATTAATAGACAGGGCATAATTCAATGATAGTAGATCGTATAATAATAGTTCATAGGTCAAAATAAAGCTCATAATAAGAAGGAAATGAATATGAATAGTTTAGTCATTTAACAATTATATGATGGGGCATAACAGAATTACTTAGCAAATAAAACTTATTATGTAGATTTGATATTCATTGGCTATGTTGATCTATTACAACTTTCAAAGATGATTCCTTAAAAGTGTAAACCACTGGTGTTAATGATGACTACTATTTTGTAAGATTAAATAAGTAGTCGCTTAATGTACTGGTTTACTGTTATTGAGTTTCAAATAGAATGAAACGCTCGTCTTAGATCCTACTATTCGTCTCGTTTCATATGTAGTCGATAACATTTAGTCAGCATTAAATAATTAGTAGTTCGACAATGATTATCTTTAAACAATTATTCATAATGAGGATTGATCATTAAATGTTAATCATCTGCTTGAAAATCTTTCCTTTTCCGCACATAATAGACCGTTTTGGTGAAAATGAAACTTTTTATTGATTATAATAGGAGTATTAGTAGTAGAGTTATTAATTGTTCCTAAATAAATATAATTCTTTATTGAGTGTTAGTACAGATTTAGGCTCGAATACTCATTTAGGCTATCATTGTATTTACATAAACAAGGTTATAATTGACCTAGTTTTTTCAACTATTTAGTCTGAGATATGGTCATCTCCCAGATGAACGGAAACCAGCTGTAGGACAAATGAAAACGAGATTAATGGTTAGTTTTTCTTGTCTAAACCGCCTTAGTGATAAGTTTTATCTTCGTAACCAACGGTTAGAGACTTTTTGTAACGTGGGTCAGAATCATCCAATATGGCACAAATGCACTCACTCTTCACCCTCTATTAGAACCTAGGTTTCCAAATTGTCTTAGTTTTTTACAACTTATGAACCCATATTTTCGCCTACAACCATGTTTCCTATGTTTAGTCTTTTTTACTAGTTTGGGATTTAGCTTGATGACTTCATCTCGCTATGTTAATGCTGTGCGGCCACTTGAACGGAATCACATATGTACAAAGGTAAATGTTCATATGGCTGACTGATTGCACACCGAATTGTTTTATCAGTGAAAATCTAAGCGTGATGTATTAATTTTATGCCTTAACAATTCGTTAATTACTTAAGCAAATTACAGTTTTAATCAAAATGAATATAATGTTAACGCTGTATTACATATAGTGAGGTTCAACCAGTTACTGCTACTAGTTAGTTGTCACTTTGATTACAGTAACGGAAATCCAGTAGTTTGATTAATCACAACATATTTAGTTGTTTATTTCAGTTACGTCAGGTTAACTGCAGACAGAGATTATTCATGCAGAAAAGTGGAAAACATGGTATATTCAGAGATTCTTAATGATAACATGAAAAATATCATATTGGTAATTTAATTTGTCTAGGATATAATGTCAATCCGATTGGTAACTGAGTTGACTACAAATCAAGATGACTCACTAGAATTTCATAGAATCCACTTTGATTTTAGTCACTAGTAAGCACATAATTATTGTTAAGTGATTTTTAGAAGTTTCTTATTTTTCAATTTCAATCATATGACTTGGTGAGTCATTACCAGTTGTTACTATTATAATTGACAATTTGTTATTTATTTATTTAAACACAAACATTGGTACAAGGAGGCACCAAATACATATGCGCCACACAAATCTCATTCGATATGTGTGAGGGCTGTGATACTGCCCGGGTGCCCAAACCGAAGCAGGTGGTTCTCTTAGGGGGCCACACCGAGCCTTCGACCTGAAGGTCTGATCCACAAGGCAGTGGAGCATCTTGAGGAGATGCAATCCCATGGAAGCCGGTGACCAGCGATTGGTTCATACGCCATTTGTTCCCGCAGGATACTGGAGCCCATGTGCACCATTGGTTTGGAATCCGGTTAGAGCGCCGGACATTCGCTTTTGGTCCTCTCAATTTCGTAAACAACAGCCCCGCCACGAGAAGGCAGTGAGTAGGACTTCCCTGGCAGGGGCTGTATACGCGTGGCCGTGTGAGAGTATTTCGAGAGGGAGGACGGGCCCACCCCACTCTCGGCCATACCAGGGCATAATTGACAATTAATAATAATATACTGTGTTTATATGAGGCGGAACTGATGTGAATAATACGAACTTAGTAAGAAATCACAGTAATGTACCACATGAATTTTGAATGAGACAGATACAATAAACCAAGTTAATTCTTATTCATTTAAAAGTTCATTTTTTCAACCAATCGAACACCATCTAATCATACTCAATATAGATTACTTATTATATTGATCTGCATATTTAATTAAGTTTACGGTTTATTAAAAGTAAGTGTTAAGGTAACACACGTTGGTATTTGGTTAAATTAACTTCTACCATTTTGTTTTAAAACTATTAATCATTATTTATAAAATCTTTCAGATAAATAATTAACATGTTAATGGTGTATGATATTTAGTGTTATTCAAGGACAATTCAGTATTCAAAATACACAATTGAGCTCTGTTATGTATCAGCTTTATTTAGATTAACTGTTTTCTCTAATATATCAAGAATATTCTTTTGATTAATGTCGGAAGGATTTTCGTGGATATTATAGTAATTTTAATGGTTGGGATCATGAGTCAGTTGAAGTTAGACTATCATGGAAAACCTGGAAGTGCTGGACAACCGTTTCGTCCTACTGTTGGACTCCTCAGCAGTACGCATCCACGATCCCACCCCGCGAGATTCGAACACAGGACCTTTCGGTCTCGCACTCGAGCGCTTAACCTCTAGACCACTGAGCTGGGGGGCATCAACGGTGTTAATGTCTAACTTCAACTAATCCACGAAATTGAGCGACACATCCACCGTTGGATGCCGGCCAGCTCAGTGGTCTAGAGGTTAAGCGCTCAAGTGCGAGACTGATAGGTCCTGAGTTTGAATCTTGCGAGGCGGGATCGTAGATGAGCACTGCTGAGGAGTCCCATACTAGGATGAAACGTTAGTCCAGTACTTCCAGGGTGGTGTAGCTTCAATTGACTCACGATCTCAACCATTGAAATATTCTTTTGAGTTAATTTTGAACTTATGTGAATAAAAGTAGAGGGTATAGAATTGTCCACTGCCTAGTTGAGGTCCGCGCAATCATTGAAACCCATGGTTAAATACATTGGGTGAAATGGCTTATAATCTGCAGCAAATGCGTTGATGGATTCTATCTTTGTCTAAATATACGTATACTTCCTATTCATCAAACTCATCCCTTGTATATTCACGCCTAATCTTTTCTACTACTAATCTCAGATTGACAAAAATAATTTTATTTCGATTTGGTGTTATAACGTAGTATTTTGAGTCGATGCATATATAAGCAAGGTCTTACATCGCTCATGACTCACTACTATAAACTGTTTCAAGAAATGCCTTTCTGAAGTGAACCACATATTATTCGATGCAACATGAAATTGTCGAATTTTAAGAACATCGTATCGTATTTACGTCGAGCTATTTTCTCAGTATCCTACATATTCGAAATTGATGAATTATTCTGCAGACCGGACATCGACTTTTACTTCGAGTATGAGCAGCTCCACAGTATCTACGGAATTTGTCACCGATATTCTTGATATAAAACAATGAATTATACCCGAGGAAGACATAATCAACATATTTCCCAACTTGGAAAGAAATTCGATGAGGTGTAAACTATCTCTAACATCTCATGAACATCGGCATCAGACCTGTAGGTGTGCAGATCAGTAATTTGAGATCCTACTAATTTGAATCACATCTAAAATACATATCAATCAAAACCCTTCTACTAGTATCTCGCTCCAGTCAACATTAAATGTTGAGAAAACCAGTGAGCAAGAAGGCGCAATCGTATTAACCAACTGATATTCCTCTAGTGGTTTCCTCTCCAGAGACGAGTTAAACTTTCAGCAGCCTAATCACAAAGCTCAATTCTGAGATAAGATATCGAAAATGATTTGCCTTGATGAATGAGGGATTTATTGACTATTAATGCTTTTCGTATCTATCCTGAAATATGACACGAAAACTAAATTTCGAAATTGAAGGATAACATAAGAACTTTGACTTATTGAAGGCGACAAAAGTACTTGCGTTCACATTAAAAGGTAATCTGTAAAATAACTTAAGGTTATGTAATTCATTTAAAAGAAAAGCTTTTATGCATTCAAAGATATATTTCTTGGTGTTTTGCGTTAAGGCACAAATAGTAGCAAGCAATGAGTATAGTAGAAATGGAATGTTAAAAAAAGAAATACAAGAGATTAGCAAAAATGAATGTATACGTGTGTATATATTTTGAAAAGTTAGAAAGTGTGATGAGTATAAAATTCAATTTGTTGTCAGTTGATAATAAAATTATGTTTGGTTTGTTTGACCTTCTTCTTCTTCTTGACCATGCATAATCATTCGTGTAAATTCTTTATAATCGAAATTCCCATCTTGAATCGGTGCACCATGGAATAATTCATCAACTTTCTCATTAGACCATCTATCCCCCATTGTAGTCATTAATTCACGTAAACGTTTCTCACTTATTACACCTATAAATAAATAGAATAAATACATAATTAGCATTTAATTTAGGTGGTAATGATAGTCGAAAAAAAGCATTACTATTATTTTCGACAAGCATGGGACTTGAGTTTGCCCAAGTTACTATTAGTTGGCTCGTGGCATCAAATGTAGTTCAATATGATGTAACAATCAACTAATTTGCCGGTACTTGAGTATGAGTCACACGTCCTTTGCAATCTGACTGAGAATTTTTTTATTTCATTAAAATCACTGAATAATTCTTAATCATACCTTTACTCTGCATGAATGGTTTGTAGTTTTATTTTGTAAAGCATGTGTGAGGTAAAAAAATATCAAATAATTAACACGCGCAGACTAATTTATTTTCAGTTTCCTGCTATTAATTTGCTCTCATTAAAAAGGATAATGAGTATCTTCTGCATAAATTACGAGGAATTGATAAAAATAGGATATCTGCATGTGAAAAGCTTCAGTAACAAACATATAGTTCGATAGATTAGATAATGGAATTCAATTGTATCATCAGAGGTCAGGATATGTAACATTTCAGCAACGTTCCTGAATGTTGTTCGTTACTGGGACAATCTTAGAATATACCTCATAGCAAGTGATTCTAATATATCACAAATGAGCACGGAGGAAAAACTGTTACTAAGTCGACAGACTAGTTATTCGAACTGAAACATAAACGAAATTTAAACCAATGAACTGCATATCTAGACTAATAACCGAAACTTTGAAAAGCCCAGTTATTTACACTCATTTATGTCAATTGTTTTCACTCTATCTCAATGTGAAAATTCTATCACATTTTTGGTTTGTAAGCAGCTGACGAGAAACCTCGAAATAATATGAATTCATACTATTCTGCACCAATATTTGTTCTTGCTTTATTTAACACAGAAGAGCCAGGTACTTTAGTTTTTCAGACGAATCCCATTGAAAGTTCACTGAAGATTTGTGGTCGGTAAATTAATCAGTTACATGTAAGTACTTTTACGAATAGTGTTAAAATCAACAATGTGTGGCAAAATAACACATGAAGATGATGTCTAAATTTGGAAGGGAATTCGAGTTTTCGTTATAAATAGGATTTCTTGTAGTCGGTTTTATGTCGCACCTACATGGAGACAGGCCAGATTTCGACAATACTTTCATACTGTTTTACTTGTAGCAATGTGACTTATTCTAAATCTGGACAGACGAACTAATCTAATGTTCTTATGTCATTATATACACATTCACCCTAATTAGTTATTCACATATAACCTTCGGTGTTTTTATGTGTGTCTGTTTGCTCTATTCGTTATTTGTTTTCAACTTGTATTTATATGTCTCTACAGATGTTCAATGACATTTTCTAAAGCTGAGTAAAGTGGAAAGCCTTTCTATGCACTCTCTTACGGCCAACATGCAAAACGTTTGTACGAAATATACCGATCCAAAATAAAAGTATTAAGCCTTTTGATATACCGCCAGCACAAGCCCATGAAGTCACTGACAAGTGGACTGAGTCATGTTGGTAGGTGTAGACTACCTGGTTGGGGACCGCGAGATGATAGCAACCGATGGTTAGAGACCCTGAATGACATGGCTCAGAATCGTTTGCAATGGCGCAGGTGCATACACTCTTTGTGTTCTCCTGAATTATAATCTCCCGATTCCTCCTTGTCTCTTTTTTTCTCTTTCCCAATTAATTTCACTGTATTACACTCTTTAAATAACATCTCCAAACCCTAACCTTTCAGATTGCTTATACTCTTACTACCTCTACCACTACGGGATTTGAATGGACAACTGCATCTCTGTGCTAATGTGGTGTGGCAACTCGAACTGATGTACGTACGTACGAAGTTCTACGTTGTTACTGACTGACTGACTGATATACCGCCATTTTAAACGTGTTAATTAGACAGAATATAAACGAAGACAGGTAAGATGTATATATTCCACTAACAGCATTATCATCTAACCATGCTAAATTCAAACTGACACTAAACATATTATATATGATTGTAAACAGAACATATACACTTGTGAGCTTTTGAACCATTTCAACTTTTTACACTATTCATTAAAGAGGACTATATAAAGATTTATTAGAAATATCCCACTGAAATGAAGTGATAGTTTTCTTATGTAATGACAAAAAACATGAAACAAAGGGATACACATAAGTTCATTACACATACCTGTCCCCTCAGGATCAAAACAAGCAAAAGCATTTAAAATCGTTTCTTCCGGATCACACCCCATCATTTTCTCACCAAATAATGTTAAAAACATTGTGAAATTTATTTGACCGGGTGCTTGTGAAAGCATATCGTTTAAGTACTCGTCGTTTGGCGATTTTCCCAAAGAGATGAAAATATCTTCTAAGTCATGCTTATCAATGACACCATCTTTGGTTGAATCAATCATTAGGAACGCTTCCTGTTTAAAAGATTGAAACGATGAACGATAGTACACTAATTAATACAAACAGTAGTTCAAAAGCTTCTAAAGAACGTTTGTAGTTATATACCGACAGAAATATCTTAAAACTTTTGTAAACGACAACCATGTGGAACCTTTGGTATTGGTTTGGAGTACTATGGTTAGGCTGTCGTAGTCCCCTTTAATCTAACACCAGTCTATGAAGTTATCGACAGTTGGGCTGGCCTGTATAGAGATGTGGTTTTTGGTAGCAGTAATTTACGGTTAAGGACTTTTAATGACATGGCTGAAAAGTCGTAGTAGTGATGATGATACATACGATATTATTCTTGCTTTAAATTATGTCCCAATATCGTCTTTTCTTCAACAGAGATTTTTCTTTATTTCTGTAGGACTACACTTCCTTCGTTTAGATCTCCCCAAAATTAGCTAAATAACTTCCTATCTACTTACACGAAGTATGGCAGCTAACGCCGAGGTACATTTGTGTAGAATCAGGACCTGCTAACAGTCTCTGTTAGAGAAACTCAAATCAAAGGACGAACTCCCAGTAAACTTTTCAAAAACATCTCAGCTTAAATAAGGAGTTATCTTAACTAATAATAAACCCAAATGATCAAAAATAGAGCTGTAATAGTCTGCAATAAACACTACTATGTATTTGGACAGTTTAGCTAAAGGTAAGACAAAAGTTGCCATGGTCAAATTCGCAGACTTCGAAACAATTTCGTCTCACATCCTATGGACTATAAAACAATGTATTTGTTCAAAACTCAGCAGACTGGTGGGGATTTACAGAATCAACTTATAAAGACCCTGAATCCGGGAACGTACTATTTATGAACCTTCGATGACATATCTATATTCCTGCTGGCAGTGAGAGGAAAAGATTATTGCGGAGACTCATGAATGAACAACATAATTTTTAATCGCGGGCTTTTAGATAAGAAAGTGATGAAAGCCGCATGTTCGTATGTGTTTTCAAAAGTAGACCCTGTTGCAAACAAAATTATCGAACTTAGTTCCAGTCAAATGATTGTAACAGTGACCTGTTGATATAATAGAGGTTTACGATATAGGCCTGTGCCTGATTTTTACCAACAAAATGAATAATTTTCTAAGGTCTGGAAAATACAGTATGGCATATTGAATATTACTTTTAAGAAAGTTACAAGCCTACCTTGAATTCGCTGATTTGAGCTTCATTAAACATGGAAAAGACATTTGAAGTGAACCGCTGAGTGCGAGTACGAGCTCTACGCTTAGTTTTCGTACAGGCCATCTTGTTTGTTTGAAATACCGCTTGTGTTAGGCAACCAAAGAAGCCGCCTGGATATTTTCACTATTTAAAAGCCAGTAGCCAACGTCCAACTTGAATAAAACTAGTCATGAAAATAATAAGATATATTTGGGACAAATTGGCGTTGGAAGTTATCGAAGAAAATTTGGTACATAATTTTATGTCACTGTGATGTTTATAATATATATTTAACAAGAGGATTTACTGTGTTCGAGGATAATGGGGATAGTCAGTCAACTAGATGCTTTAAAATTTTCGTATAACCGAATCATCGTTTGGATGGTGCCCTAGAAAATCCTGCAGTCGATTGACTTTTTATCGAGCTTCTTCAATGTTATTTATTACCTATATTGAACTGACATACTGATATGGTGAAGTAAGCGTGTTCTGTCGATAAAATTGGGTCGAAGTTACTGCCAAATATTGTTTTAGGTGACTCGATCACGAAGCATATTGGTGTTTGTTTAAATCTTCGGTTAAATTCTTCCCATAAAATGTAAACACTTTGGCTCAAGACTTTCAGTATTTTGTGCAGGGGTATTTGAGACCTGAAATTTTATTCGTTGTCAGGATAATTTTTGATTTAAAAATGTCTATATAGATGCTTTAGTGGTTGTACATCTGAGTGCGATTAAATCCTATGTTGATTGTTATTGATGTTTCGGACCTGGTTTGAATGCTTCATATTGATGACAGAGGATTTTCGTTGTGTTTCAGGACCCATTATCGTTTATTCGTTTGAAAGAAAGCACATTGGCCGTTAATCCGCTAGTTCAATCAAATGCCCAAATTATGTAGCACTTATCATAGTGGTCGAAACATGGAATAATTATCATTTAAAATTCCATTTATCATCAATATTTATGACTGGTAGATATAAGGGTCAATGGTCATACTATCTATAAACTTTCAGTTAATAAATTAATGAGTTGTTTCATGACAAATATTGGTTAGAGGTGTTTCGAAAAGTATTTATTATCAAAAAAGGTTAGGGTCTCACTTTGGCATTAGTTTGCGTATACATCCACCTAGATTGATACACTTATTCTAATACTGTACATTTGTTATGGTGTAGCGGTCCAATCCATATGATCATACACCGAAGTTCTAGCACTTTCTATTCCGAATTCGCCTGTCGTGTGAGTAGAGATACTACTTTTTGAGATTAATTGAAGAATGGGCACAATCTTTTCCCCAGAATATGTTTTATATAAATACAAAAATTATGTTTGTGGCGACCAAGCTGAGCTACGCCGTCTCAGTCATTTTTCCTTATTGGTATCTAAAGCATCACCAATTTTTATGCATTCTTATGTATCTTGGGTTCTATCACCTGTGGCAGAAGTGGTTCAAAGTGATGGATAATTTGTGCTAAGAGCTAAGTGTTATTGTACAGTCTGTAAAAGCTCGAATATACACTTTGTTATGCGTCATACACGTTCGTGGGTGTGAGTAATCATTATAGATGCTGTCTTAAGTAGAAATCGACGAGCAAGGGTCTGAAAAAATCAAACTTACTTCACCTAAACGTTGTATGGCCTCAGTAAAATGGATGCGTAATACGGATTCATTGTCTCTTGACGTAGCTTGAGAGCCGATAAGTGACCACAAAGCTTGTACTGTTTATTTCAGATGTGGGTCACTATTGGACTTTGTATCGGCCCCATAGGCTCTTTCCTTACTCCGTGTTGCAAACCTGCTGAGAAAGAGATGAGTGGCTATTCACAGGACAGATTTTCAAGGCTTTCTTTATGTGCTTGTAGGTTATACTACCATAGACAGCGTTTGTAATGACTTTTATCCATGTAAATTAACATGTGACAATATCGCCAGTCAAAATATTGAATTCGATGATGTTATCTCTGTTATAAACCAACGACTCGGTAACCGGTAGTGCCAGCCTTTAATGAACTGCGGATCATTGTCAATTGACAGTACATTAGCTTCTCGCCCAGCGCTGAACGTTGAGTCCATGACACAATATCCGCCTCTACTGAGTGAATAGGAATTCTTAAACATATGTCTTATACACGAACAGAACGGGCTGAATTACACGATGTAACGAAAAATAACAACTAAAAAATACCAAGTCAAAAGTCTCTGGGTGCATAAGAGACTGCAATTGGGAGTAGTAAGTGTTATATTAGTGGGTAATAAAACAAATGAAAGCTTATAATAAAGGGAATACAAATGTATCTAGCCTAGTTATTTAATGATTGCACAATAAGGATATATGTGATAGAGTTCTAAAAATGTCACTGGTATTCAGAATCTGATAGAGCCTTAAACAGTAATGCTTTCATAATCGACGTATATCGACTTAGTCAAATCATAAGTCAAGAGTGAAGAGGTTCGAAGATATATATCGGTATGTGGAAGGAACGTTTGGTCTAAGAGTAACCGAGCGCATTCGGCTAGATTAGTCCAATCAAACTAATGCGGCCAGCACCAAATGACGAAGGCTTACAAAGCTATTGATTTTGAGGATTTATTTACCACTATAGGTCTATAAGTATTTTCGATAAACAACCATTTGTTTAGTCTTCCTCACCCAAAATAATGTGTGATGATGTTCCGTATTGGCACTGGTGATAACGAGGTACAATATTTAAGGCTAGTTATCCATATACCTTACAAGTGTGAGATGTGCACTTTCAAAATATTGCTAGCCAGTTCATGAATTAAGGGAATCGTTAATATATTATATAACCAAAAGTATGAAGTGACAAAGGAGACTTTATTTTTTCGTTTAAAAGTTCACCTCCGTATTATTGTTGGGATGAAATATAAACCCGAAACCCGCAGAATATGCTCTACCCATATGACGACTGACTAAATTTATTCATTTGTAGTAGACTTGTGTCCAGCTTTGAAGATTGTGTGGTTATGATTCAATGCCACTACACATTTGAAAGCAGACTCTGATTTATGTCTGCACTAGTCAGGACTAGATTCTAAATTGTCCGCGCAAAGGGCTGGAATACGAGAAGGCACAGGTCAATGAAATCGAGCTATATGAAGGAGAAATTGCATCCGACCGATTATGAAGTGGAGAGGAGTAAGAGGTTAGCGGAGTTAGGTTTTATGTAGTCCAATTGAATATTGAGTGCGTTTGCCAGTGACAGAAAATGTGTGTGTGCTAAAGTGAATCATGGTCAGTTAATTGTTGTGGAGGTGTGCTTGCATTTTAAGCGAATCATTATGTGTTCTAGTCGTTTGTTCGAGTTTATAGTAGTACTATTATGTATAGTTGTAATGAACTTCATTGCAACAAGGGAGCTAGTTTTCTGAGTGTGCATGATTACGTCTCAATAAAAAGGAAAGCGGAAAATAGCAAGTGCCGCGGTTGGAACAGTGTCGTCCTTATAGAGAACGAAATACAGTGTATTTAACTATCCATGAGTGCCAAACCAGAACTGGCGAACGAACAGTAGCACAGGAACCTGTTCATTTTACAGTGACATGAAATTCATTCACAGAAGAGTTCATAAGCGTATCGATACTAGAACCTTTAATCAATCGTTGGGAATAATAAATGTTTCTAACAAACGGTACTCGTAACTCGATCCAAGGACGGAATGATTTAAACCATTCAGTCCAAACAAGTAGAATCAAAGAGAGGTGAGCCAGTAAAGTACCTAAAAACACTACAGGTGAGGGTAAATAAGATCTCTGTGAACAAGGAAAAGCAGAATAGAAGCAATGAAAGCACGAGGGTTTTTTTTTACTTAAAAAGAGACTGCAAGTAGATTCAACTTCTGTGCATGTATTTATCACCCCATCGATATACTAGGGTTACCCATTCTTTCTGTGAATAAAATATCTTATCACGATGATCCCACATTGACGCTAAATCCTTTTCTGGTTATGTTGAATGATTTTTAGTTTTCATTAATATGAACTTTTATTGTTTAGTCCAAGAAGCGGTCATATTTAGTTAGATCTTCTGGCTTATAGCGACTCACGTGCAAATGAGTTTAGTCTCATCTAATGCAGTTAAGCCCTTTTGCTAACTCATTTAGCGGACAAAGTCATCCGCACTATAACAACTTATTGTACCCTTACTATTTTGTGCTTGTATGAAGTACGTATATGCTTGAATATTGCTTACGGCCTACGCATTTATTCACTCTGCTAGTCTTACTACTAACTGATTATTTGATTCGATTACTCATTCATTTCACATGCTATATATATGTCCATGTTATTCATACGCACTCACTCACACACTCTCGTCTCGCTCTTGCTATGGCTCTCGCTCGCTTGCTTGCCTTTCGGCACAACTCTTCTATGTTTGTTTAACGCATCTGTACATTTGGATATATGTGTGTGGTCTCGTAATAAACGTAATCAACACTTCATATTTGCCTTCTAATTAATTTACCGTTGGGACGTTATATAGAACGGTTATCAAGACGAACTGTATACGAAGTTTAAGGATTATATCGAATACCGACCACCACAGGCTCTTTTTTAGTCTATGTATTTATGGTGCTTGTATGAACTAATGATTCCTTTGTACATGGTGTTTGGCTGATTTCGGATTCTAAATATAATACGTTCCGTTGCGCTAATCTAGTTCTGTTTGGTTTAAATTGCGCTATTCTGGGGATTCTCAGTTCGTATAATAATTCAAATACTTCTGACCATCACAGTATTGCTCATTCCAAAATTTAATTGCCAGTTCGTTAGTTGATGCCTAGATATTTTAGCAGAATATACTTCTTTAACGTCAGTATAATCATATTATTGTTCGGACATGTTTCATTATCATTGTTATATTAACGAATGAATGCAGTTACAATATCCATTAATAAGTGAACGAGTTTATTGGTATGATAATTAATAAATTTCATATCTTGTATAATTCTGGTTTAATTTACTACTTTTTAAATTCATTTGAATAAAGTTCAAATTTGTTTGCTAAGATCTTTCTCCCCTTGGCGTTACTGTATTTACAAATACAAAGCTCCTATGTAATC